TCAAAAATGCAACCAGCTAAAATAAAGAAGCACACTAAAGCATTTGCCATTATGTCTCACCTGGTTAAAACTGTTATGCCATACAAGTTGGTTGTCATTTATGGTTAACGTATTTCCTGAAGGATCCTGGGGATCCAGTCTGCCAACTTTTATTCTAACTATCGAACCATTAGGGAACATCAACCAATTTGTCACATCAAACTCTGTCACAAATTCCCTGTTTTTGTCAAAGCTCACGGTGTCTCCAGCACTGTTGTTGAATAACACGTTGCCCAAAAAACGGTGAACCTAGACAGAAAAAAAAAATGTGAATAAAGTCCAGGTCTTAAAATGACTGCTGCAAAATTCACAAAAGCCTGTCTCAAGCAACATCTAGATTATTCCCTTCCCACCCACCCAGTTTCTGTTGTGATTTTGTAGTTTTGAGCTGTCATTTCTCTTTGGAAATGCTGTTCCTCAGCTACAAACTGATGTGTAGGTGTCCTCTGACAGAGATGAACCCTACCAGTGTGTCTCCATTGATCCCATGCCAGAATAGGAACCAAGAAGGACATCCATATGCTTTATTTCAATTGGTGCTCCAGTCATTACAGCATCATAGTTACAATATGGGACATATTTGCAATATTCCAGCATGAGCTGGCATCTTCAGGTTCTCTGCCTGGGTACCATTGTCCTCTAGTTCTTCTCTTTTTTTAAGGAAGAGACTCAGGGAAACAATAGAGAAACCCTAGGTATCCAGAGTGCCTTGGCCTAGGGAACTGCTTCCATCTCCAAGGAAATTTATTTAGTAGTTAGTAGGTACCTTGTGCTTCCCCTAATCTCTTGAAAAGGCCTTTACAGTAGCCAAGTCAGTGAAAACAGCAATGTCCTACAACGTGGCCTGACTCTGGAGGCTCTTCCAAGGATGAACAGCCAATTCTGGGAATTATTAGTTAGATTGTCCAACAGCATTGATGGCTTACTTTCCTCCCTTCACTGCCACTATTCTGAACCTCTGTTTCTATATGAAACTGGCTTTCTGCTCCTTGGTTCTGGGAAGACTCTCCAGTTTCAGCATTCTCTGCTTAGGCGTTCAAGCTCCCACCTGCATCTGCTGTGATCTGTGACCCCTGCCTTTCCCTTGCTCTCTGCAAGTTCCTTGTACTGTAGGAGTGCTGAGAGATTTCTTTTCCCCTTTTAATAGGCTGTAACTACCTCCTACTGCATTCAGCTGTCCTCTTCTGTTGCCTTCCTCCCTAGATACTAGATATCAAGCATATCAAGCATTATCAATGCAATCAAGCATTATAAACCAACCAACCAACCAATCAACCATTTTATTCTTAGTTGAACTCAAATGAACTCAAACCCTTGTGCTAAGGGTAGATACACTGGACAGAATGTATGATTATTAATCTAGATCCTATTGATTTAATTGGACTTACTTGAAGCCTGATCACATTTGGCTCATCACTGAAACTGCAAATCCAATTCATTCATTCATTCATTCATTCATTCATTCATTCATTCATTCTTTCATTCATTCATTTGGAGTTCTGAAGGAAGAATAAGTGTTCTTATCTTTGGCTCTAGTGCTGACTTGCTTTCTCAAATAGTATGGAGGTATACATACCATCCACGGTTGCACTTTCCAAAATTCCAGTCTCCCTCTTTTTGCAGGTGTCCTGTGTTTGGAATTAAATTCGTACATGGCACGCAAAGCATGTGCCACAGCATAGACAGCGTTGTATACATTGTAACTGTGACCAATCATGTTCCTTTCAAATAAAGTCCCAGGAAGAGTCTCTAGCCTCTCTTCACCACTGCAGGTCTTGTTCCATTCCTGCCTCTTAGATCTATTTAGTTTACAACTGAATGCTTGTTCCCAGAAATCCTGGATAAAACCATCTCCTTTAGTCCAGGAAGGTCTTATCATCTGGAGGAACGCTTGGAATCCTAATGGCTCCTTTGAGTGAACAGTGAAGCCTATGGAACCATGAAACATCTGCATATCCCAAATCTTTTGAAGAGAAAGTGATGCAAAATCCCAATGGGACGTGACAATCCACACTTTACCCAGTGGTGGCAGATTCAGGAAGGATAAAAGAAATAGTAAGATTCTCAAATTCTCAAAGGATGGAGATTCTCCATATACGAAAAATGCATTGGCTTTACTCTTGGAGACAATTCCATAGCTTGCCCAGTGCTCTAGAAGCTCGTTTATCAGCTCTTCCATGTATGTTTGCTTTGGTATTCTTATTATGAAGGCATCACAGATGCCATTCTCATAAAGCATTGGCACTATCGATTGTAAAAAGCTATCTCCTTTGTCGTCGCCTGCAGCTACAAGCCCAATCCATGTCCATTTGAAATGCTGAAATAACTGCACAGCTCCCCTGAACTGATGCCTTTCGTTTGGAACCATCCGGTACAAAAACGGGAAATGGATTATAGCATCCCTTTCTTGCAGAAAAGAGGTGTAGGTCAGCTATAATAAAATCAATGATATTTCAGATCTGTTATTCTCATCCTTCTCTGAGTCTGTTGCCATTTCTTTGCAGCTTTAAGGTAAAATTGGGGGGAAATGGACAAAATAGACCATTGTTTTCCATTCTTTTGAGCCGAGTTGGGAATCTAAATGCTTCTTGGTCCCAGAGCTTTCTATGGCATTTTTCTGACTTGCCCCCAACCCTAATTCCCTGAGATTTCATGGGAAGAAAATGTCCCCAGTTTCTTCCTATGAAATCCTGTGCATAATTTATTGGATCTGCAGGTCCTAATCAACATTTATTTATTTATTTATTTATTTATTTGTTTGTTTGTTTGTTTGTTTGTTTGTTTGTTTGTTTGTTTGTTTGTTTGTTTGTTTATATCCCGCCCGTTTAGACAACTACTCTGGGAAGCTAACAATAAAAAGACTAAAACAATCTACTATATCAAACAACAATTTAACAACAAATACAATATCATTATTCAAGATGGAAAAATAGAAATCAAGTGGTGACAGGAGGGAAGGCCTGCCTAAATTATGCTTTTACTGTAAGCTGTAGATGTAGTCTAGATGGGTAGGATACAAATCAAATCAAAGCAAAGCAAAGCAATCAATCAATCGATAGCCAGGTCTTGAGTTGGCTCTTAAAAACACCCAGCGAGGGGGCCAGGTGGCTCTTGGGGGGAGGAGACTATTCCAAAGGCAAGGGGCCAATGCCGAGAAGGCCCGATTTCTTGTTCTTTCTTTCCGGGCCTCCCACAACATCTTCGTAAAGCTTACCTCTTGTTTCTTTCTATGAGTTAAGCCTGGCAATCCATCCATGTGTGTACCTTAGATATTATATTTGGCAGGATGTCTATATCAATTTGCTGCTCCTGTCAGTTTCAGGGTCTCAAATTGGTCAGTTTCAAACAGAGAATGTCATGCACTGACTAAAATGGCAAGGGATGTACTTTAGAGTTGGAGAATACTCAGGATGTAGAGAGAAACAGGGATGATTGTGCATTTCCAAACTGACCCAAAATGAAGCAAAGGAGTCTGAAGCAGTGCTTGAATTGAATTACCGCTCTCTGAAACAGCATATAGTGCTTCAGGATTTAAAAAACAAACGCTTGCTTTGCTCCTTCAGGGGTTCAAAAAACTCATATTTCCTTTTGAAGAAATATTCACTACAAGAATTAAAATAATGTTGGAATAGAAGAACTGGTGGGAGGGCAAAGTAGAAGGAGGTTGATCCCTCCAGCACCAATAAAGTACAGAGGCTCTCCTGAAAGCCCCCAGTCACAGAGACCCTAAGGAAGGAATTTCTCATTTTTCTGCTTGGAAGCCATTGTGAAAGAAACATGGACAGAGAATGGGCAGAGATTCCTGTCTGCATTGCTTTAATTTGAGAGTTTATTATTATTATTCTCTGCTTTTAGGCAGGTACAGATCAAAGTACAATTAACCGGGTGCCTCTGTGAGTGGAATGTGGTATTAGGAACACGATGAAAGTGATCTCTCCTCTATTTTGTACTTTAAAAAAAATATCTACCACTGACATTAATTTTGCAGAATTTTCCTTTCATTTTTCTTCACCATATATGTTGGCTTTCCAGATGGGGTGGGTGGTAAAGGTGAAAGAAAGGGAAACACACCCACTCTGGCATGCACACAGAAGGCTCAGCATTTCTCCCTGCTGTTGGTTCAAGAAATCTCCTAGTCTCTGTGGGCATTCTGGAAAGATTTCCTGTCAGGATGATGAAAAAAAAAATCAAGAATAAGAATACAATCCTGAATACTAATTATGACCCTGCTATCAATTGGCACCACTGAAATTTATTTCTTCCTTCTCTGCTGGTTGTATTTCTTGCATTTCTACTCCTTGCAGGCCTACTTGCTTGCCCCTTGGTCATCTTGATCTTCCTGCCAAAGGCCCCACACAACTAACAAGTCCTTGCCTTCTTCAAAGGAAGAGATTCTGAACCTTCCATATTTTTAGAAAAACTGGATGACCCCAGTTGCATCTCTGTCCATTCTTGATCAAAATTGATGTGATGGGTTTCATCATTTTTCTCCACTGGATTGATTCATTGCTTAAATCCTGGTAGATCTGTATGGAGATTGACCTGTAAACTAGTAGTTCCAGTTTTGCTCTGGTGACCTTAAGGAATTGCTCTTTTTTTGACATAATTAAATGTTTTTAACACGTATAAAAACAGCTTACCTGTGGCATCTTGTGCCTTGCAGAAATGATGGCTATATTGCTAGACATTTCAGAAGTACTTCCTCCAATGACAGCAATTAGATAGTACTGGCGGTGACACTGGAAGTTGGGGAGAAACCTATTTTGTGTAGAAAGCAGGTTCAGGGTGGCTTTATGGGTCATCTTTCCAGTGTAGTAGCTATTAAGAACATGCAGTCCCAGGGACAGGTTTGGTAAAAAGTTGAGATTCTCATTTATCTCTTTCACAGCAAACACCAAGGCCAGAATGTGCTGGTAATTCTTAGGTATGGAACTGCAATAAGAGTTACAGTTGTTTAATCAAGCAAGAAAAAAAAAGCAATATCATCAACCAAAAATGTATTTGTACTGTTTATCATCAGCCATCCTCATAGTTTCAAGACTGTGTTGTAGCATAAAAAAAATAAAGTGAAAGACTACAGAAAAGGAAGCCATCCAAAATAGATGTTATTGTAAGTCAGAATTTGTCTGGATATTTCAAGTGTTCAATTAGTCATACTCTGTAGTTATTGGAGTCAATCCTTTTGCAGAAAGACAATAATGAGAATATAATAATAAGAGCAATGCTATTAAATGCATAAAAATCATAATCCATGCATAAGTATGCTGTCTTTGTTTAGCAGTTTTTTTCCAAGTGAATTCTGTGAAAGCAGGACATCATGAGTCAGTCATTAAATTATCTTGCAATAATGTTCATTTAATATTGAGAAATTATTATTATTACTCAATATTTAGTATTGCTGAGAAAATATGTACCAACCATTATAGTGATGGAGCATAGAATCACATGAAGTCAGTGAAAGCAAATGAAAAAAAACTATTATTTATACCAGTTGTTCCCAACCATGAGTAACCCAGGTGTTTTTGTACTACAGCTCCCCAAAGCCTTTACCACTCACTGTGCTGGCCAGGATCTCTGGGAGCTGCAGTTCAAAAAGACCTGGATTACTCAAGGCTGAGAAGCACTGTTTTATATTATCTGATGTCAAAGACACTGATGCTAAACAGTAAATATGATGAATTAACCTCTTTCCATAAGGAGGCCAGTGGAGAAATCATATTGCTAGTGGGAAGTCAAAAGAGAAATCTTCCAAGCTGCCATAAACACATACAGTATTTGAAGCAATACTCCAGATACTTGAGACACACAGAACACACACACACACAGAGAGAGAGAGAGAGAGAGAGAGAGAGAGAGAGAGAGAGAAATGTTGTTTTTGACTGTATCTCTCAGAATCTCTCAGCAATTATATCTGGAGTTCTAGTCAAATTATGTGACTTTTTCAAACTTTAATATACACACACATACCGTATATATTTCTACTTTAACCTTAAGCGATAAACGTGGATTTGCTTCTGTGTAAGTTGGGAATAATCTAGGGAGACGTTTTCAAAACTGAAACATGCTGATATTTCTAAAATCTGATAATATGATTAAAAATGCACAAAAAACTGGAGGGGCATGAGATGGATCACAGATGAAGACAAAAGATGAGAAAGACACGATCTAAAAATTAAGCAACTGCATCATTCATAGAATCAGTTTCAATATGATGTGACCTTTGTCGTGTATGACTGATAAGAGAATGGCATATAACCCAAAATATCCCTCTGAAAATACTGCTCAGAATGCTTTTGAATGCTTTTAAAAGTAACTTTTGAAAGTAACTAGGTGTTACTTGCTGCACCAAAGTAATTTAGGTGTTACTTGCTACATCTGAAAGTAGCTTCATGACTACTAGCTACATTGCTAACTACCCCAAGTAACTACCCCAAGTAACTAGTTACAGAATCTGAATTACTTGTAAATAGATAAAACAGATTACTGATCATGAGGCCCAAAAGTTGAATAAATGACACTTTCTCACCCTCAAATAGATAATAACACATTACTTGTTATATAATGTGTGTGGTTGCAGTTGTTTTTTCAAGACCTGAACATACTATACTATGGGGGGAGGGAAAAGGAGAAATAAAGAGGAAGAAAGTTAAAAGAAATTATTCCTTACATAGCATCATCAATCAATTCCTTTGCAGGATGCTCCTTGAAAGATACATTATCGTAGTGAAAGATCACCTGAGAAATTATCCCACCAATGACAAGGTTTCCTGGCTGATAAAATTCATGAAGAATAGGAAGAGGATCATCAGGTGGGATGCATCTAGTTGAATATGTTTTGCACATAGAATGGCACAGAAGTACAAACAGCAATGTCACTGCCAGGATGATCCTGTTGACAAAATGGCCCTGTGGAACTTTGATGCCAATGTTTCTTGTGTTCAACACTGTACATGGCTGTAGACCTATGATGAATGAAAGTGTGGAGAATCCCATGGCTATACCGATGCACAGCTTGGTTTGTTAGGGAATCTGTCTGATTAATTATAGCATCTTCTTATTTTCTTGTCTTGTCCAGAACCAACAGTGTGATTTTTCTGTCCCCTCACTCTACCTTCTAAATATAATGGAAGGGAACACTTACTTTCTCTTCTTTAAAAGTCTTCATGTAGAGATGTTGAGCTACAGGTAACAAAATCTTTTTGCCTTGATGTGTAAAGTTAAATAATAATGATAATAAAGTAAAAAAAACAACAACATTAGAATTCAGAGAGAGAGAGAGAAACCCTTGGGTCTTTTAAAAACACTGATAAAGAGAAAAGAAGCAAGTTAATGCCCAGTATGAAAAGATGTACAAGAGAACATAGTATGGTAAATTTTGGTCAGGCAGTGTGCATGTGAGCATTAAGGTCAATAAAACTTTTATGAGGTCCAGTTTGACAGAATAAGAAATCAGGAGATAGACAGAAAGAAGCGATGGAGTGTAGATATATTCACAGTTTCCTTCCCCCAAATAAATAAATAAATAAATAAATAAATAGATAGATAGATAGATAGATAGATAGATAGATAGATAGATAGATAGATAGATAGATAGATAGATAGATAGATAGATAGATAGATAGATAGATAGATAGATAGATAGAAGAAGGAATGATCACACCTAAGAGCCCTAGCTAAATCCGATTCTGGACAACATGTGGAGTTTTATAGCTTTTTACGGGCATTTGTGGACCAGTGGGCTCTGGAAATCCATCGTGTAACAGAACAGATACTAGCAATTGTGACAATGATAGAGAAGAAGATGAGTTCCCTAGGGCGTTGTTAGCTTTTGTGGTTGCATCACACCTGACAAAACAACATGTGTAATGCAACTCTGAAGATTCAGTTTTCTGCGTTCCTGTCTTATAGTTTATTTCCCTGAATGTTGCAATTGCTGTGTTCTACTTTGAGGAGGAACAAGGTGGAGGAGGAAAAATGACAGCAAAGAGCTGATAGGGAGATGGTTCTCTGCAAAACATCACTCCAATAGTGAATTAAAATAGATTTGAATCAAGCCATTACAACATTTGCCTTCATTATTCTTTGTAGAGTGACATATCAGCACCCTCTCTGTGTCTTTTTCTCCCTCTGTTTCTCAATAAAATACAAATGGCATTGTACGCTTGTGTTATTTTCAGTATGTGGATTCCTAAATAGGGCCAAGCGTTCCTGCTTTTTTCCAAGAACAGCTAATAATGGTACTTCAACATCAAAAAAAAAAACACCTAAGATCATGGCCACTGGTCCCATCACCTCCTGGCAAATAGAAGGGGAAGATGACAGAGGCAGTGACAGATTTCACTTTCTTGGGCTCCATGATCACTGTAGATGGAGACAGCAGCCCCGAAATTAAAAGATTCCTGCTTCTTGGGAGGAAAGAAATGACATACCTAGGCAGCATCTTAAAAAGCAGAGACATCACCTTGCCGACAAAGGTCCACATAGTCAAAGCTATGATTTTTCCAGTAGTAATATATGGTAGTGAGAGCTGGATCATAAAGAAGGCTGACCTTCTTTATGCTTTTGAACTGTGGTGCTGGAGGAGACTCTTGAGAGTCCCATGGACTGCAAAGAGAAGCAACAGGAAGGTGTTTCTTTTTTCTCATAGTTATCTGCATTTTGTGATTGATTGTTCGATTCAATTGCTACCATTATTATTTCCATAACAGCAGGCTTTCTTAACTGCAGCCTCCCCTCTCAGGCTTGATAATATAGTCTATGACCAGCAACCCCACACACACACACACACACACGCACGCACGAGATAAAAGAGAAGGGGGAAAGAGCTGAAGGAAAATTATAGCTTAAAATCATTATCCATTAAATCTTTACGTTATCTTGCATGCATCTGTGAGAAATTTTGCTCTGGTAAGTGTAATTTGGGGATAAAGGCCAAAAAGTACCGGTAGTTTATGTAAGGCCTCTGTTTCAAAACAGCCCAAAACCCAGTTAAGCAAAAGAAGGATAAACTAAAAATGTGGTTCATGATAGAGCTGGCAGTGTAATATTAGGTGTGTAGCTGACTATATATATATATATATTACAGAGGCAAGATGGCTACAGTTAGGGTTACCCTTACAGTAAGGATTTTTGCTTAAGCAGACAAGAATGAACAAAGAAGGAAGGCTGCTTGAATTCCTTTCACTTTGCAGCTAAATGGTTTAATCGGAAATTCATCCATGAAGAGGCCTGGGCACCTAGCACAGAACCAGAAAGAATGAATTATTGTCAACAGCCTGGGCACCTGCAGAACCTCCTCTTTCCCCCTCCTTCTCCACTCCCCTTTTTGCTGCCCTTTTCATGTGGAACTTATAGAAATGTATACTTGGTATCAGCGGCATCCTCTTCTCCGTATGTTCTGACAGACGGAGATGCATCTTTTGCTTGTTTTCAGCTGAAAATAAATGAATATATATCGGATCTCCTAGTCCCTGGTTAATTGAATATATATCAGAGGCAGGTTAATGGGCAAAAAATAGTTCTGACACCCTTCAATATCATCATTTATATTAGCAAAGATCCTAAATTAATCAGCTGCAACCTATCTGATCCTTTTTCTGCTCTAACTCAATTGCTCCTACAGGAAAATTATTGGTTTTATAATGCAGTTGCCCTATCCTTCACTTCCAGCACTATTTGCTCCTCAGAAAGTTGTTAGGCCAAGTAACTTCCCCCCTTTTAAATTGTGCTTATCAGCTCCAGTGTCATAGATCCAAAGCCTCTTGCTTTCTTTTTACCAGTTTTAAACTCAATTGCTCCTACAGGAAAATTATTGTTTTTATAATGCAGTTGCCCTATCCTTCATTTCGAGCACTACTTGCTCCTCATAAAGTTGTTAGGGGAAGTAACTTTCTCCCCTTTTAAATTGTGCTTATTAGCTCCAGTGTCATAGATCCAAAATTAGCCTCTTGTTTTCTTTTTAACAATTTTGAAACACCATCTATAAAATCTCTTTAAACCATTTTCTCTCCAGTTTACTAATTTCATCCCAATATAATTAACGTCTTGCTGAACATAACAATAGAAAACATTGGTTTGAGAGACATTCCGGTTTACTAATTTCATCCCAATATAATTAATATCTTGCTGAACATAACAATAGAAAGCATCGGTTTGAGAGACACATATAAACATACAAGATAGTTAATATACTTATAAGCAATTCTGGTTTGAACTTTAATGGTAGACAAGCACATTTAACTATGAACTTAGAAATGTTTATGATGAACGTAACATTAGATGTTATTGTTTCTAAGGCACTCTATTAAACAGGTGTGAATTATAATATTGGTTTATACAGATAATATTAGATATATAATATCTTCTTATCTTTAGAAATGTTGATGTCTGATGATAGTACATGTCTGGACTTTATTGGTAAATATGTACTGTATACTTAATTATGTAATAAGAAATGGTTATGAAGAACATACGGTAATACTGTATTTAGAAAAATGATACTCTGAAATATAATTGGATAGATGAAAATGCAGGAGAAAGAATCTTTAAAAATCACTATAAATTTAGGATGTTAGACATTGAACTAAGAGATGCATCTTTTGCTTGTTTTCAGCTGAAAATAAATGAATATATATCGGATCTCCTTGTCCTTGGTTAATTGAATATATATCAGAGGCAGGTTAATGGGCAGAAATTAGTTCTGACACCCTTCAATATCATCATTTATATTAGCAAAGATCCTAAATTAATCAGCTGCAACCTATCTGAGCCTTTTTCTGCTCTAACTCAATTGCTCCTACAGGAAAATTATTGGTTTTATAATGCAGTTGCCCTATCCTTCACTTCCAGCACTATTTGCTCCTCAGAAAGTTGTTAGGCCAAGTAACTTCCCCCCTTTTAAATTGTGCTTATCAGCTCCAGTGTCATAGATCCAAAGCCTCTTGCTTTCTTTTTACCAGTTTTAAAACACCATCTATAAAATCTCTTTAAACCATTTTCTCTCCAGTTTACTAATTTCATCCCAATATAATTAACGTCTTGCTGAACATAACAATAGAAAACATTGGTTTGAGAGACATATATATACATACAAATCAAGATGGTTAATATACTTATAAGCAGTTCTCGTCATGTTTGAACTTTAATGGTAGACGAACACATTTAACTATGAACTTAGAAATTTTTATGATGAATATAATATTAGATGTTATTGTTTCTAAGGCACTCTATTAAACAAATATGAATTATAATATTGATTTATACAGATAAGATTAGACATATAATATCTTCTTATCTTTAGAAATGTTGATGTCTGATGATAGTACATGTCTGGACTTTATTGGTAAATATGTACTGTATACTTAACTATGTAATAAGAAATGGTTATGAAGAACATAATATTTAGAAAGAGTGTAGAGTATGATACTCTGAAATATAATTGGATAGATGAAAATGCAGGAGAAAGAATCTTTAAAAATCACTATAAATTTAGGATGTTAGACATTGAACTAAATATTTGAAATAGGGATATGAAATATGATATGCATGGATACATATGGACATCGCATGGTTTAGCATGAGAGTAGGGCATAAGGTCTGTTGTAGTCAGAATTATATAATGGATAAGTTTGAATGTGAAATACCTCCCCGCCTAAATGTTTTGTTTGTTTTATATGTCTTCTGGTTGTTTCATAAGTTTTTGTTCATTTTGTATGTATGAGTGTGTTATAGAAATTTTAAAAATTGGAAAAAAAGGAAAGTTGTTAGGTAAACTACCCAGAGAAGAAATGTCTTTGTTACATAGATGGTTGAGTTGTGAGAGCTGATGAGAAGGATGAGGTAAATGGCCATTGCACTAAAATCTATCTAGTGAAGAAGGGTCAAGAGGTTCAGGGCTCATACCACACCTAAGTCTTTATAAGGGGAAAAGCAAATATGCCTAAAACATAGCAATGGAGAGGCAGATTCTACGTATTATCTATGCACATCCTTCATAAAATATGTGTAGTCTCTGGATGTTCAGGATGGATGGCTTTCTGTACCTGAAAGGAAACCTGTTAAATTAATTTGGGGGGCTGAGCTTAAGTTGATCGTACTCCAATTCTAAGCAAAGAGATGTTGACCACACCAGGCTGTTGAATGCCTGATGATTTCTTCACATGCTTTGTCATTTTGTTTTGTTTTCTGATTTTGGTCCCAAAGCATGGTCACCGAAATAAGTGCTAGTTGTCTGCCCTATAATTAGCACTTATAATTGTTGTGTTAACCAAATGCCCAAGTAGAGCTAGAGGTCAAGTGAAAAATTCACAGTGACATAAATGCCTTATAAGAACCTTCTCTTGTGCTCACAACTGGACTGGGACAAGCAGGACTCTGTCCGTTTGAGATTTGAGAGTCTGATGGGATGCTGGTAAACCTCAGCTGTCTTGTGAATACGAGAACAGGTGATATTGTGAATCCAGCATCTCCCATGCCATCCCATCTATTTCTTCACTTCCAGCTCTTCTTTATAAAGAAAATAATTCCACCTTGGTACAGCGATATACGAAAACTCCTATGGGAACACTGGGTTACATGAAGTAATCCTCTCTCTTTTTTAAAAAAAAGAAAAACATAATGGATTGTTTAGCCAAATGTAAAAAGTTATTGGCTTTCTCAGAAGAACTGATAGATGAATCTATGGGATGAACTCTAAATTTTAAGGACATTGTAAGCGAAGGCGAAGTAAATGCAGTGAAAGGAAACAGCAGAATGTGCATAGGGAACAGTGATTTTGTTCTCAAAATGGTAGCAGTATTCATGTTTCTTCTGAGTTTTCTGCCTCACATTGTGACTGAAATACATCCCATTCCTCCCACATCAAAGACACATTCTGTTATTTGTAGAGTGAGCGAATCTCTCCCTATTTCACATGAGTTTTCTAAGCATGGAGATTTTGTCATTGGAGAGATTTCTTCCATATTTTTTCTCTTGGACTTCAGCACTGATTTCAGCAAGAAACCATCTTCACAATGGACCAAGGACCAATTAATGTAAGGTGTTATCTCATTCTCCTCTTAGACTTTAATTTAACCCAAAAATCTGGATATAGGACTCAACAAAATACTTGTGATAATTTTTCCTGCCTTATAGTAGTTAGAGCAGCATCAAGGCTGCAGTTATATGCTTCATTTATTTCATTTGTTCTAATTTCTTCAGGACATCTTTCAGTTAAAGTGTATATTTTTAGCACTTCATTCTAGTATTATCTAAATGTGGCTCTTCTGCTGCCCCGCTATTTGTTCCTCTTATATAGCATGTTTATAACTTCTTGAAGCTAATTTTTCACATACCAATGTCTTTCATGGTTGACATGGTCTAGAAAACAAAAAAAAGTAGTAGTACTGGTGGCGGCAGCAGCAATTTTAAAAAAACAAAAGAAGCACGCTTGAAGCACCCAGAAATATATTTTTAATTCTTAATAACCACTTTTGGTTTTTTTAAATTATTATTATATTTGGGAATTTTACATGGTGTTCTGACATATGTGCCGTTTAACAAATAAGAGTAGCAATTCACCTATATTTGGATGGACGATCCAGAGAAGAAGCTGACCTTGGTGAGGGCTGTATACCACCCGAGGACGACACTTTGTTGAGCTCGCTATACATGCTGGACTTTTTATGTCGGTATATTTCACCATCAAATCCCCTTTCTTGGTTTCTAGGCATTGCAGAACTCTCACTGCTTTCAATTTTATCCTCTTGTTTTCTTTCCATCCCAGAAATTCTACTGCTTTCAGCTTTTTATTTTAAAACTATTATCTTTAATATTTTTTGAAACATCATGTTATTCTGTATACTGAGCCTGCTTTTACTACCATTCTACTTCAGTGTTTCATCATCCTACTATTCTTTTTTCTCCCATAGTATTAGCATTAAAATTATTGGTTCTTATCTCTTCTGCTAAACATGATATACATTCTTAGAATTTGTTGCTCTAGATTTATCTTCCTGTACTATCATATATTCTTGAATCTAATTATAAGATAGTATAAGACATATTTGATTCAATTTCTAATGAAATATCTGAAATATTAGTTTCCTCCTTCAGTTGTTCCGTCACTGCCTAGAAAAATAACTCTCCTGCCCAACACTCAATCTCCATTATTGTCCAAGACAAAAATCATAACATACTGTATATCTATATAAGATACTTTAAAGAAACCTGCTAGAGCATATTGTAGTCATGTTGAATTCTATACAGCCCTTTTTACAAGGATAGTGTTATCTGTATAGGTTTAGAGATACCAAACAGGTCCTTTTTAGGCAGATCATTAATAATGCTTAATAAATTCAGAGTGGCTAATTGAAGCAATTTGTGAAGAGATTATTGAAAAACTTTCCATGAAGTTGATTGAACATCCTCTCAATCCAATGCAAGGTAGGCAGATGTTAGATTTTTGTTTGGGAAAAAAACATTCAGACACAGTAGAATGGGTAAATGATGGCAGCTCCTATTCCTAAGAACTGGATGCCTGGTTTGCGTGAACGTTTGTGTGCCTCCATAACATTCTAATTTTATATTATGAATGAAGTGGATGTTACCAAAACACACTTGAAGTTGGCTATCACATCCCCTCTCAACCCTCTCCGCTCTAGTGAAATTTTTGCATTGGGTACAATACTGCTAGCGCATGCAGTTCAGAAGGGAGACCATTGTCTCAGAACACTGGCTGAAAATCTGTTAGCCTGCTCAATCAATGGTGTTTTCAAGACTGAACTCCTCTGTAAGTTCCATTGATACAGTGGACCTAATCGAGTTGCAACTTCAGGCATTCATCAAAACCATGAAGTTACGCTGAGGTAAATATGAGAGGTGTTAGATAGCAACAAGGAACCAAGCAATTCAATTGCACAATTGGTCATGCATCTCTGACCAATGAAATGTGCCATTGGAAGTGCTTAGTAGACACCACTTCTGCCTTGGTCTTATCTTAACTACCAGAAGTCCAACATTGAGTTGCATTCATTTAGTTTCATAACTGAATTTTTGCCAGTGAGGCTATAAGAATGCTAAGAGGTCTAAGATGAGTTCTAAGGTGACTACATGGTTGTAAGAATTTTAAGATGTTTAAGCAATTTCTGCTGCTCTTTCACTCAGTATTTTTTATTGCAGTATGGTGCCTAGGAATTATCAGCATATCCTAGCCTTGGCATTTACTATACATGAAATCAATCAAAATCCTAACATCATAACTAATGTCACCTTGGGATTCCACACCGATGACAGCTACCACAATATAAACATGATTTATAGGTCTTTACTGGATCTTCATTCCACGTGGCATAGATTTATTCCCAACTACCAGTGTGATGTCTACAATAATATGATAGCCATTATTAGGACAATATACCTTGATAACATCTTCAACCTGGCCACCATTCTCAACATCTACAGGATTCCAGAGGTAAATATTTTGGATGGAAATATTTAGGAGCTCTTGAGACAAAAATGAAATTAGTATCTGGTGCATTACCATAGTATGGTTTGTGGTGTAAACGGAATGGAAGAGTTGATATGTGTTAGTGTGTGCACAAAACCCAGGTTAAATGGTGAAATAATGATAAATCTAAAATTCTGATTACACCTCCACCTCTTGACTGTACAAAGTAGAACCAATTTATACTAATATTTGCATTTTACAGTGCAAAACCTAAATTTTCTGTACTTCCTAGTCCACAGGCATAAACCATAAAAAATTATTACATTGTTTCTGATCTTCCTGTGCTTAGATCTGATTAGAGAAGCAAAACATGTTGTTTACATAATACAAAAAATTGACATTATACCTGTACTTTACTTGAATGATCTGGAAAATCATGAAGCACAAAAACATCCATGTTATACAGATATATTTCTCATTTGTTGTGTATTTGTTACAATTCATTCTCAGCTACAAGTGTAATGTGCAGAACAATATGACAGATATCACTCCTGAGACAAATGTCAACCATTTCAAACATCTATAAGGTCCCAGGGGCAAATCTTTCGGAAGGAAACACAGACATGTCCTAGGCTCAAAAAATATTTTTTTTCTGAGTGTTTTCCTTGGTAATGGAATGGATTGTATTAGAAAAAGAAATAAAGAATTACAGTATATGTATTCTTGAAGGCTTTCACGGCTGGGATCTGATGGTTGTTGTGGGTTTTCGGGCTCTTTGGCCGTGTTCTGAAGGTTGTTCTTCCAAATGTTTTGCCAGTCTCCGTGGCCGGCATCTTCAGAGGACTGTTGTGAGTCCCATAGAAATACAGATGATTGCAGGGCCGGCCAGCCTGAATCCAACCAATTATATTTTTTATGACATATTAATCTTGACCTATGGCTTGGAAACGGGGATGAGCACCGCCCCCTAGAGTCGAACACGACTGGACAAAAAATTGTCAAGGGGAACCTTTACCTTTACCTTTATTGTAATAAAATTGTATTGATTGTGGTTTTAATCTGGAATGATTCAAATGAAACATTCAATATGTCCTCCTTTGTCCTCCTTTTTGTTTTTCTATGTCCTCCTTTTAGTACCCGTGTATCTGGCAACCTTACCCGTAGACATACAGAGGATTGCAGGGCTGGCCAACCTGAATCCAACCAATTATATTTTTATGACATATTAATCTTGATCAGGAATGGACAGTATCTGGAGATCCAGAGGCTACACATTACCATTCTTACACCTCAGAAAACTACAACAAATTACAGCTCCCAAAACAGTTTTGTACAAAAACAGATTTTAGAATTTGAAAAAGAGATGTCTCCCAACTTATAATGACAGGATTTCAAAAGAAATTAAAATGTTTTGGGGATGGTGGAACTTGGGTCTCAGAAGGACTGTTAAACACTCCAGTACTTCCTCTCCACAGTGCTTAAAGAAAACAGGGAGGTGGTGGTGTTTTTTCAGTCTACTCATCAGATTACAAAACAAATCTGCTGGAACATATCAGGAGAAGCTGCAGGAAGGCTATGAGTCCAAATGTTTCCCACCTTGACATAATGATATTTCACAATCTATGCACTTTTTTTCTGAAAATGTTTTTTTTTTTCTTATGCAAAGGAAGGCTCCATTTTAATTGAGCAAGGATCTAGGGAAAAGGATGCCATGTTATGAAGTCCAAGCCATTTAAAGCATACACACAGCATACAAATATTCTGTGCCGCTGACAGAGCTCTGTCTTCTCTTTAGTTCGTATTTGGCTCCCTTGACTCACAGTTGCCTCAGAAAAAAGTACTGTCTTCCTTGTATCGCATGACCCCAGATGATGTCCATGAGTACATGGGACTTGTCCAGTTATTCCTGCATTTCAGGTGGACATGGGTTGGAATTTTTACCTTGGACATTCCCGTTGGAGAGAGATTTTTGCAAGGATTTGTGCCACTGCTTTCTCAGAGCAGCATCTGCATTGCTTTCATAGCTAAATTAAGAACATTGGCTTACATTGATAAATTGACTGAATCTTTATATAGAAATCTGGGTATAATTTCAGCTGTTGTTCAAATAAAAACCAAGGTCCTCATTGTCTATGGTGGTCCTCTAGCACTGAATCTTCTGAACTTCTATTTTAATATGGTTTTGAAATTGCCCATGGGGAAAGTATGGATTGTCACAACACACTGGGAATTCAATATACCATCCAGTCAAATTTATGAAGACATACAAACTTTTCATGGTATGTTATCCTTCACAGTCCATTCAAAGGAACCTCTTGGATTCCAGACTTTTCTTCAGACTATTAATCCCTTCTGGGCAAAAGAGGATGGCTTTATCCAAGACTTTTGGGAGCAGGCCTTCAAATGCTCCTTGAAAAGTCTCAGTTTGCAGGATGGTAAGGGGACCAAGAAAATCTGCAGTGGAGATGAGAAGCTTGAGACCCTTCCTGGACCTCTATTTGAAATGAGCATGTCTGGCCACAGCTATAATATTTACAATGCTGCCCAGGCTGTTGCACGGGCCCTGCACATGATGTATGGAGAATCAATCTCCAAGTACAGATCACGGGTGGCTGGTAGGAGGTCGGTACTCTGGAGTCTACACCCATGGGAGGTAATATTTCCATGCAGTACAGAAAATAACTATGTAGTTATTTGACTTTGATTTTGATGAATGACTGTCAGTTTCAGAAGTCCTATCTGGGTTTTTTTTTACCTCAAAGCTTTTACTATGGTAAAATTCACCAGCCTTTTTTTTCTCTTTGCACTGTACCAGTGGAGTCCATGTTGTGTTAAGTCCAAAGGAACAGATACTACTCATATTATCCTATGAGAATAGGATGTTATTATGTTTCTGCCTATTTTAATTACTGTATTAGAGCAGTGTTTCCAAATCTGGGGTACATTTATCACCAGGGGTACGAACCAGGACCATCGGAGTTGTGTTAAGTCAAAGGAACAGATATTGGTTGTTGTGGGTTTTTCGGGCTTCTTGGCCGTGTTCTGAAGGTGGTTTTTCCTAACGTTTCGCCAGTCTCTGTGGCCGGCATCTTCAGAGGACAGCAAACTGTTTGCTGTCCGAAAAACCCACAACGACCATTAGATCCCGGCCGTGAAAGCCTTAGCGAAAACATTGAACAGATATTACTCATATTATCCTATGAGAATAGGACTTTATTATAATGTTTCTGCCTATTTTAATTACTGTCTTAGAGCAGTGTTTCCCAATCTAGGGTACATGTATCACCAGGGGTAAGCAAGGTATTGGAACGCATTAAACTAAGTTTAATGCGTTTCAATACGTTTCCCCTACCCGTTTAGCGACGATTCCGCATAGCGAGGGTTAATCCGGAACGGATTAACCTCGCTATGCGGGGCACCACTGTACATGAAAAAATGCATAGTGGTGGGGAAAGGCCTAGGCGAGTGGAAGAAGGTGAAACAGAGGTATACATTAGGGATTGTCCTTTGTACCAAACATTTGTGAGAGCTTCTTGAGAAACATCCAGAACCCTCCACAGTCTTCAACAGGCAGGTCCATTCCATCTTGTCTTGACTTTACTATTGTCATTTATTGGTTCCTATTTGATAGGTATGAGGCAGTTTGGTTGACACCTTGAGATGTCTGCCATTCCATTCTGTGGCTGTGTGTCAGAACTGTAGCTGTCCTGTCAGCCTTTAGCTTAAGGCAGTGGTTCCCAGCCTTGGGTACCCCTGGTGTTCTTGGACAACAATTCCCAGAAGCCTTCACCACCAGCTGTGCTGGCAAGGTTTCTGGGAGTTGCAGTCCAAGAATACCTGGGTCACCCTGGGTTGGGAATCACTGACTTAGAGGGAAGCTGGTGAGTCTTGTGTCGGGATTCTTCAAGGAGCTGCAGAAAGTGGAGTATGAGGTGGGTTTGGTGTAGGGTTGCCAGATGTCAGGCAAAAGGAGGACATGTCCTCCTTTTTAGCCTAATGTCCACCGTTCGGCAGGCAAAGATAAAAACCTTTAAAATATCAGGCTTTTGTATATTTTATGTTATAATTTTGGATGGGGCGGAGAGGTGGAAAGGAATTTTGGAAAAAAGCCCCCATTGAATTTATTTTAATTTTTTAACATGATTGTTTCTTGGTCGGTTCCCTAAGAGACATTTATTGGCAGCTATTGTAATAAAATCGTATTGATTGCGGGTTTAATCTGGAATGATACAAATGAAACATTCAATATGTCCTCCTCCATCCTCTTTTTTGTCTTTCTCTGTCCTCCTTTTGGTACCCTTGCATCTGGCAACCCTAGGTGTGTGTCAGTCACCAGACTGAGTTCCATGTCTGAAAATCCAGCAAGTATTCATTAATTAACAACAAGAAGCCATTGTAGATTACAGTACATTGTTTACTTTCTGCCACTGTAACTACACAAGAGGATTTTGAGCACTGAGTTCGTTATTACTGTTTTAGTGTAAGCTGTCAGTGAGAAAAACAGCTTCTAGATAAAATAAAATAATAACAGATAGTGATGTGATCAGAAGGGAAGACTGGGTTAGAAATTTTTCTGTTGCCTTAATGCTGGCTTGTATTTAGTAACATAAAAAAAGAAATTGTGATTAATTGTTTCAGTTATAGGACCAATATATGTGCCTTTTCTGTTTGTTGATTGATAGAAAAATATTTTTTTGACTGTCTATTCAGGGAAGAAGATGAATATTCAGAACTTCGGTCAGAACTTAGTCATAGTCAGCATGAAGCCAATGAAGATTCACACAGTATGGACCAAGATCAAACTTCTGTTTCTGTCCCAGAAAACCAATCAACTATGGTCACAGCTGACATGGGTGAGCAATATTTTTGAATGTGAGTTATCAAAGCAGCAGAAATGAATTTTTAACGACTAGTAAAAACTAGGTCTGTGTATCTGCTCTAGTTTGATCCAAATTATTTATGTTAGAAATCACTTTCAATTTGCTTTGAGCTGATTTGTAGCCTATCTGGTTTGTAAGTATTTTTACCTATTTGTATTTTCTAAATAGTGAAAAAACTTGAAAATAAGAAAAATAAAGGGCTCTGACTTGGAATTGTGAAATCAACTACTGCTTCACCTCCAATGTACAGGCAAAGCTCACACCAGTCTCCTTCATTCCCTTCTTCCTTTCTCCTCCTCACCACCCAGCTGGGAGCTATGCAATTTAGACAGCATATGCCCTATTACTAACTATAGTGTGACTTTTCCTGCTCAGTTCCCCACAGTAGTACAATCTTCACATACACAGAGGCTCTTAGTCAAGTGGATAGAGATCTGTAGCTGCCTAAAAGAAAAGAGGAGAAATTATCCAATGCACACTCACCCTACCTCCTGAAAATCAAAGCAATGCAATTGGTTTCCATTCTTTCCAAAGTGCTTGCTTCACAAAAAGGCCAGCTGTTGCAGGGCCAGGAGAATTCCCTCCCAGTGGCTCTGTGATTGAGGTTTCTAGGGTAGCTAGGATTTTTCAGTGGTACCTGAGCTGTCAAT